TGGGCGACTTCAATTACCCGGACATCAATTGGGCTAATGGTACCTCAGGATCGACAAAGGCGGGGCGATTTCTGAACTTGTTGTAGGAAAAATGCCATCCTAGATTTAATAATTACTAATAATGGGGAGTTAGTTGAGGATATTGTAATTGGGGAGACACAGGGTAGTAGTGATCACAATGTGATTACTTTCAATATTAAATACAGGAAAGGAAAGAGGGCGGGACGGACAAGAACCCTTCATTTCAGAAGGGCAAACTTCGATAAGTTGCGCAAACTAGTGGGGGAAAAAATTGGGATAACTCATTTCACAACCTAAACTCAGACCAAATGTGGGACTGCTTCAGGAACACATTACATATTGCCATTTCAAAGTGTATACCATTGGGTAACAAAAACAAAAGATTAAAGACTAAACCGATATGGCTAAATAAAACTGTAAAACTACATGTTAAGGCAAAGAGAATGGCATTTATAAAATATAAGATGGAAGGGACGGCATTGGCGTTCCTTAAATACAAGGAATGTAACAAAAAATGCAAACTAGTAATCCGTGAAGCTAAAATAGAATGCGAAAAGCATATCGCCGCAGATAGTAAAAAAAAAAACTAAAACATTCTACCACTATATATACAGTAAAAAGGTAAGAAAGGAGCAGATAGGCCCAATAAAGGACGAAAACGGGAAGTTACTCACAAGTGACAAGGAGAGGGCCGAGGCGCTGAACAATTTTTTCGCCTCAGTATACACTCAGGAGGGAAACGGGTTCGACGTAAGGCCGGCTGGTCACTTTAGGCGTGATGCCTGTTAGACTGGATCAAATGACGTGAGAATAGGCCCGCCCCCTCTTTTTCTTTAGTCTGATGGCCAGCATCATTTAACCTGCTTCCTCTAAGCCCAGGTCATCCTGGACCCTCCCCCAGCTTGTGACTGGACAGTAAAGGAGAAGCAGCATAGTGATGAGCTCAACTCTCTGTCACTCTCTCTTCCACCTTCTACCAGCATGCTTCTTCTTAGCACATGAATTGATTGGCTCATTGTACTGCTTCTACCATTCACATTCCAGCCCCACTATACAAAGCCTGCCAAAGCCTGATAACTGGTCAAATTCAGGGAACTTACACTACTTGCATTTAACAAATGGCCTGATGAGGAATTGTATGACGTATTAATGATTACAGAGATACACACTAATTTGTGTCCTTTATATCTGCCTAGAGATTAACTTTAAGGCCCCATTCTTTGGTGGTCTTTAGGTGTTTGTTTGAGCATTGTTCAGGTGTTTTTGTGCTTGTTTAAGGATGAACTTTTTTTATTATTTTGGGCTAATGATAAAGCTAGTTACTAAGCATTAAAACATACAAGAAACGTGTGGTACTTTCTGTTTTGCACATTTTCATTTGCTCCCTTTGAAGTCTTTGTGGCTTAAACACACCATGCTGTTCCAAAAGAAGGTAATTTACTTTTTTCAAAAAACTACGGGGAATAAAGGGAGCTACGCCAAATACAGCAAAAGTAAAAACCAAACTCCAGGGTTTCAATTTAACTATGTAACACTAGAAAATCCCCTATGCACAGAAATCCCTATGTAGCTCGGGATTTATTTTATTGGATAGTAATATGAACCACATCTTTTATGGGTCTCCTGAGCTCCAGAATGGTGTAAAATGTCTGTCTGGCTGTTACCTGGTGGCTACTTTTACTCTGTAGCTGTTTTTCTTTTTCAATTTAAAACAATAGAAGTTTTAAAGAAATGTTACATTATTATAATAGTGTATTTTTCATCTTTCCCCCTAGAAGCTGTAGGGCTAGATCAATTGAAGAGTGGACCTGTGCTGCTATTACAATGCTTCACAGTAGAGTGTTCATAATATCTTTAATAGCTATAGACATTAATAGCTGTATAAAAGCAACATAGAAGGTGCATACAGAAGCCTCCTCAGCACAGTCAAAGAGGAAGGGGGTTTTTGTATAGCTCTATATCACCGTGTGAATGGTAAGCTATAACCACTTTGACCACAATAACAATATGCTTCATCTTCTGCCAGAACTCCACTGATTGTCAGAGTGAAGTCATTGTACGGAGATTCCGATCTACCGCAGCTGAACCTCTCCGGGACTCCAGACTGACGATTGATTGCCTCATAGACGAGAAGTGTTGGAGGCTGATCTGGCTTCTTCTGATACCAGTGTAGAAACTGGTTGTGCCAGAAGTAAGAGTAGAAGTTTTTTGTCATATGACCAAACAAGCACTTTCGGGAATTGCTTTAGCTAAAGCCTGATGAAGGGACCCTGCGCGGTCCCGAAAGCGCTTGTTTGGTCATATGACAAAAAACTTCAATAAATGAAGCTTTTGCTATCTTAAAAGGATTGGTGTGCTGGTGACATTTCTACAATTTTGCTGACATTCGCGGCGCCATCCGCAGTCACTGCAAGCACCCCCCACTACAAGGGACATATCGGTAAGGAGTGCGACAAGGATAGTACTTATAGAAGTAAGAGTAGAACTCGGTTTACAATGTATCACCACATTCTCTCCTGGAGACACTGAGATAGATTCCGGAGTCTGAGTCAGCACAATCTGTCCGAAAGAGGCTTGGGAGACAAAGAAGAAATTGTATTTGTTACAGTTATAACACATAGTAATGCAATTTACATGGCATGCAACTACTACTTTTTCTACTACTACTGCTTCTAGCACTACTAATAATACTAATTGGAATAATAATACTAATAAATATAAATGATCATAAAATGGCAATAAAATAATCATGTACCTTCTATACAGAGACAAAAGACGCAGAGCAGATATATCAGTGAAAACATCTTGTATCTGGGCTGTCACACACTGATCACTGGCTTTCAAAAGAGACATTTTTATAACACGTGAAATCTACAGGGACATGAACTCAGATAACATGCAAATATCAGTTACATTTCTGTTACAGTTCAAGTACAAATAGATCATCATATTTTACATTAAAAACAAGATTTGTTTGAAACATTTTAACTTATAAATGTGACTGTAATTTAACATTTTCCCATAACACATAGCTCTGCAGTTGTGCTGCACAATTGCCGGTTTCATTGTTCCCAATTATCTCTAAAAGTTACAGAACACCTGACCTCCATGATAAGAGAAGAGAAGAAAGGAAGATGTTTTGTAGCCCTAGGGGGACAACACTACTGTTTCATAGATACAGTACAGCGAGTGAGTGTTGTCACCGTAGGGCAGGAAGTGTGTTACTGGCAGGATCACCAGGTAAAATAAAAGGATAAAAGCCTGGCAAATGAAAACTAATGCAACCACCACATCTAAGAACTGGTAAAGTGCAATATATTACACTTTTGGTCTTGTGTTTAGGGGCACTCCAAGGTCAGCAAAATGTTTGTCATTAGTACACTACTAGTGGGAATATGCTGCACTACCTGGAAACTTTTATCAATTGAACTAAACTGCTTGGAAAATAAATGTGTTGTGTATTAGCTTTATTATTTGCAGTAGAAGGAGTTGTCGCTGCTGCCCTTTTCCTACTCCTACAATTATTTCAAATTCCTTCTTTTCATATCTTATCCTATCATACATTGGCCTTTCCACATTGAGATCCTATCAGTTGCACACCCATTGGTCTTTCCCCAGAGAGATCCCACCACTTACACATACATTGGCATTTCCCCAGAGAGATCCCACCCCCAGCACATGCACATTGGCCTGTCCCCAGAGATATCCCACCCCCAGCACACACAATTGTCTTTCACCAGAGAGATCCCACCTCCAGCACACAGATTGGCTATTCTGCAATGAAATCCCACCTCCAGCACAGATATTGGCCTTTCCACAGTGAGATCCCACCCCTAGCACACACATTGGTCTTTCCCCAGTGAGATCGCAACCCCTAGCACACACATTGATGATTCCCTAGTAAGATCCCACCTCCAGCATGCGCATTTCTTTGCGTACACACACACACACACACACACACACACGCTATAACCCATAGTCACCAGTTCCCTATCTAGAACTCTTCACTTTGCAGTAGCCACACTCCCACTACACACAATGCATATTGCTCACTAAGTCTAGACACAAATAGGCAGATTTAGTAATGGAGTTGAGAATCTTTACACAAAACATTTTATGAATATCAGTTTAAATTATCCAATCATGTAAAAAGGAAATTCCTGTTTACTTATTTCATCTGTACATGATTGGATAATTGAAGTGAATATTCACAATTTCTGAATATATTCTGAAGGACCTTCCGGGATTTTGCACCCTGTAATATTGTACCCTACTATTAAAGTGCATCTAAACCCAAAAACACAAATTTAATTTACTACAGCTTACCAATCCTTAGATATGGCTGCAGTAGTTGTTTCTTATAGGCTTTGTTTTTCTTTTTTTTCTTTACATGGTAATCCGGCCAGTAACACACTTCCTGTCTTAGGGAGGCTACACTCACTTCTCTACTGTATCTATGGAGGAGCACTGTAGCTACCCTTGTGCCCTGTGACAACAGGATGGTCAACCAGTGGAGAGGGCAGTGTTAGATGGACTCTTAGATTTTGAAGGACTTTACATAAGTCCTTCAAAATCTAAGAGTCCATCTAACACAATTAAGGCAACTCCAGCTAGCATCTTTTAAGTTTGTCTCACCCTCTGTCTCCCACTTTTGCTGAACAGCTGGGTCTGCTGAGGTTGGAAGATAATAGACTTACTGGCTGGATAAACATGTGATCAAATTATGATATGTAGGGGTCTCAGAAAAAAAAGGCTGCGGTAAAAGCAATTGACAGACTGCATCATGTTTTTTATTTTGGCTATAGTTCCTCTTTAAGTAGGGAGAACTTATTTTTCCAATATGAAACCTATTGTCATGTAATATGACAGAATTTGCTCTCAGGCTTGTGTTGAATTAGTAGAGATTAGGAGCCCCAGCTATGTGTAGCCTAGTGAGATGAATACAGAAAAGAGGAAGGAGGTTTTTGTATGGCTCTGTATCACTGTGTGATTGGGTTGCCATAATCACTGGAGCAGTAATAACCTCCTGCATCCTCTTCCTTTACCCCATCAATCGTTAGAGAGAAATCATTGCCTGATCCGGTAGCACTGAACCGGGCTGGTGTCCCAGAATGTAGAGTGGTGGCGTAATATACAAGAAGCTTTGGAAGATGCCCTTCTTTAAGCATGTACCAGCTGACTTCATACTTTGAAATAGCAGAGTAATAGGTGCTGGAGCTGGAAGTACATGAGATAATGACCTTTTCTCCAGGAAATGCAAAAATATGACTCGGTTTCTGTGTCATCACAATCTCACCATTGGAAGCTTGAAAATAAAACAAAAAACACTGTTTAATCAACACATCAACAAATATAAAAACACAATTTCCTTGTAATTTTGCTGATATGACTATACTTTGAATATAAAAGTAGAGAACGCAGAGTAGATATGTCAGAGGAGCCATCTTGATTCATCTGAAACCGTCACACACAGATTACTAGCTTTCAGATCAAACCTTTATATTACAAAGCTTGTGGAGCAATAACCTTGGAGTTTATGTAAAACAAGAAATATGTAAATTACATGATTACAGATCAGCCAATAATTTGCTTCCCCTTTAGACATTTCACTGATAACATCTATATATTTAAAATGGTAATGTGTTGTGATTGCAGTGGGTTTAATCAGCAAAGCATCTCTCTCACTGTAATGTAAAGAACAGTTTTAGGTTTCTAAATACTAGTTTGTTATTCTCCATTCTGTTTTTACGATATCTGTTCTCTATTGACACAATATATTTAATTGCTATTAATGGCAACTTTATAGTACATAGTTATAAAACACGTACCCAACAATTATTTGACACTTGGGGGTCTATTCACGAAGCTGCCGAAGGATCTAGCCGTAGCTTCGGCCGATCCTTCGGCTAGCTTCGGCCCAGGGTCCCCTTCGGTTCAGTGGAACCGAAGGGGTGCTGTACGGGCTATTCACAGAAAAAAAAGAACATTTTTGCCCATTGGAATGCATTGCTAGATTCCTATTGGCTATTTCAATTTGCAATAGCCAATAGTAAATTAGCATTGTACCCGCCCTCTGCTGCAGTTCTCCATCAGGTCCATTAGCAGAGGCAAGCCGATGTACGGCTGATTTCAGCCGATATACGGCTGAAATCAGCTGTACCAGCCTGAAGTGAATAGCCGAACAGTGTTTGACTCACTTCACTTCAGGTCGGCCATTCACTCGGCTGCCTTCGGCAGCTTAGTGAATAGACCCCTTGGACTCCCTTTTTCCCCCGTACAACATTAGGTTTCTTATACCACTTTTAGACCTAGATGTATATCCTGGGAGCATTGTTTTGATATATTATTGTTGTGTTTTTCTCATACTAGTTTTGTGGTACTGCCTAAATATTTCCTAGCGTACATGCTTATCTAATGACGAAATGTTGTTAATGACAAACAGTTTTTGTTTATGTATGCTCCACTTTATACTCAATAAAGATTGTACATGCTTAAAATACATAGTTATAAACATACCTTTCCATTTCTATTTGTAGCCATAAATAAATCTGATAAATACAGTTTAAAATGTGCTTATCTGCGTCAAAGCTTTTCAATGTGGTTTGTAGTAGAGACTTTTTTGTTTTTTGATTTTGCACTTCACAAAGTGCAAAATTGCACGTTAAACAACCTTTGAAATTAAAATGTCCCTACTACTTAAGCCACCATGACCCTATTTATTCCCATGAATGAGCCATACTCTATTAGATGGCTGGAGGCTACCATGAGTACAGCTTATTCACAGGAATGAATGGGGCTTTGGCGCGTCTACTCACGGGGAAGAGGAATCGGCAAGAACATTTTCATTGCAAAGGCTGTGCGTCACTGTGCAATTATTTTGCCAGGCGGCTGGTAAGGGAGGGGAATTAATTAAGTCTAATTGTTCTAAAGAAACAGTTGGCCTTTATTGTTTGCGGTGTGTTTTGTTATTGCGCTTTTACTTTTTTTACTGATGAGCTACGACTGACATCAACTGGCACTTTGAGAAACATCAAACATTTTTCCCTCTGTGCTCTAGGCTGAAAATATTTTATAAAAGCTAAGCATTTTATTAAAAAAATTGCTGACAGGCAGGCATTTTATCACAAAAAAGACTGTGTGGTTCTCTTCTGTTGAGGTGAAGCAACTTCTGTGCACATGTGTCTGAGGTCAACTGAGCCCAGCCAATCAAGTGGCCGATGACTCGAAGAAGACAAGGAAGTGCTGGCGAGGGAAGAGAGCACAAACATAGCAAAACTAGAGGGATTCCTTTGGTAGGTAATCCTGCTATAATATCCTATGGAATTGCAAGTGGCATTACTATGCATAACAATCATTATCAGGGGGAATATCCTGGGTGACATCATTGGCCAAATATGACCATGACCATATTTAGTCAATGGCCTCACCTGGGTTCCCCCGCCACTTTGGAGAAGTGCATTGTGTTTGAATGTTTTGTTTCAGCTAGTCACTGGGCATTGTTCATTATGATTGGTGATGATTTTACATCATGGGACTTTTTTCTTTTATTAAAGGTCTTTGTAAAATGTATTGTGTGTTTCTCTACTACTTTCTCTACAAGGGAGAGGTTCTCTCTGTGAGCCCCCTTATTTTAGAAGAGGCTTGCAGATTCTGATTATTCCCCCCCTAAACCTAAACGTACAGGTGTGAATAGAGCCTAATACACTCCCCCCCTCCCCCACACACATAAAAAAATACTACCCCTGTACAAATAAAATAATACACTCCCCCCATACACTCTCCTGCTTACCTTTTTGCAGGGAGGAGGCTATGAGGAGGCACAATCCCTGGTGAGTGATTGGTAAGGTCTGCTGCAGACCTCACTAATCAGTCCAAGTGCTGGCACAGAAGCAGCTATGTGGTCTGCATCAGACAGAGATGCAGACCCTGTAACTGCTCCCACAAGTCTGGTACACGGTCTGTGACAGCGGCTGCAGGCTACATAGTACAGGCTCGCAGGCCGGTACTTTGAGACCACTGCTATAATGCTATAAAGTAAAGAGGACCCTGCTCACCACATGATTATTATAAGTATACTAATGTTTTTTTTTAAAGCTAAAATGCGGGGAGGGGAGCCTACCCATCCTGGAGGTGGGGGTATCAAGACACTTTATTGAATTACCCCCTCAGCAATTTTATTTTCCATTTTAACACCTGACTTCTAATCCTCCCATGGCAGCTTTCCTCTTCTAAGTATTGGAAAAGTTTAAGGAATATAGGTTTCTTTGGGGTATATTTTTCAAAGATTCGCAGACAGCTGTTGCAAGGAGCTGTTGTTTTCGGACGCCATGATTTGTAGTTATACCACTGGGAGGAAGGTCGGTATTTTACCAGGCAGCTGTGCACAGGTAGGGGGATTAAATAAAGCAAATATGTATAGAAGTACAGTTGCCCTTTATTGTTTTTTGTGTTATTACTTTATTACTGATGAGCTAAGCCTCACATCTACTGGTACCATGAGGAACATCAGACATTTTGCTCTGTAATGTAGGCTCAGAATAATAAGAAACAAAACACGTAAGGTGTCATCTGATAACAACAATGACATAACTGTGAAAATCATGGTTTTGTTTTGACAGATTTGTTTTGACAGATTTCTATAATGTGTTAATTTTTACAACTTTGAGATACTGAAGTAAAGCTTTTTTGGCGAAAAAACTAGGCTTTCTTTTATATATCGTATTGTCATCTAAGGGGATTATTCACAAAGCTGCCGAAGGCTCCACATCAGAAGGACTTCGACTCAGCCGGTCCAACGTCTGGATCGGCTGAGCCGAAGCTCCGGCAGCTCACTCACTGCCGTTCACCCCTATTCACATAGGGGGCGAACGGCAGGGAGGGAATAGCCAAATGCCGCCGAGCGGCATTCGGTTCGGCTATTCTGCTCGGTACCTCCGTGGAACCGAGCAGAATAGAAAGTAGTGCAGAAAGTAGGGAAAAAAAACTTTAAAAAATATTGATAAAAATTTTAATAAATATTAAATAAAAAAAAAGATTAAAAAACAATAGGGCGGAGCTAGCAGTGATAGCTAGCTCCGCCAAACTGTTTCCTATTGGCCGGCACCGCAGTCTTCTAGCAGGTCCCGGCCAATGCATAACAACTGGGTGGAGCCGGCTGTGGCGTCACAGCGGGCTCCGCCCAGTTGTTATTGTTTAATGGCAGTTCAGCGTCCCCAGGTCAATTGGGGATGCTGATCTGTCATTACAACTGGGCGGAGCCAGCCGTGGGATCACGGCTGGCTCTGCCCAGCTGTCATTTCCAGGGTGAAAAGCCTGGCTTCAGCTGACACTTTGGCTTGGCTGAGCCGCTCGGCCACCTTCGGGTGCTGTACAGGCTATAGTGAATAGTGAAGTTTTATTCCTATTATAAGACATTAATTATTCTACTATATATAACACGTGCGAACATTTGGGTACTGTGAGCATTATTAAAACAGGATGGTAAAAATTCTATATGTGTATGTGTGTGTATACACATATAGATATAATATTGCAGTTGGTTGTGCTGCTAAAGTTTCCATTTAGTGTTTAAACCTATGGTAGCCTATGGCCATACCTTGCCAAACCACCCACTTCACAGCCGGTTGATGCACTTTAAAAGTAAAATGACAGGTGTGCTTTGAAAATAGGATTTCTAATTTTTAACTTTCATGCATTCACATGGTAACAATAAATTAATGTCTTGTCTTTGCAGACTCAGCGGCTCTGTATAAAAGAGGAAGGAGGTTTTTGTACGGCTCTGTATCACTGTGTGAGTGGGGTGCTCTTGCTCTGCATACAGTAATACTCGGCTTCATCTTCTGCCAGAGCTCCACTGATTGTCAGAGTAAAATCATTGTACGGAGATCCCGATCTACTGCCGCTGAACCTCTCCGGGACTCCAGATGCACGATTGGTTGCATAATAGATAAGACGTTTTGGGGGCTGACCTGGTTTCATTTGGAACCAAAATATTCCACTGTCACCATCTGAGTAAGTAACATCAGAACTTGATTTATAGTTTATGTTCACATTCTCTCCTGGAGCCACTGCGATATATTGTGGAGTCTGCGTCATCACAATCTCTCCATAAGAGGCTTGGGAGACAAAGAAAAAATGTAATAAGGCGCAATTAATACATATAGAAATATTATGCAATGGTAATATTGTTAAAAAAGGAAATAATTGGTAAAATAAAGAAAGGATTTCAAAGCAATTATAGAGAGAGCAGACATTCTTTCTGTACCTTCTGTATAAAGATAAAGGACACAGAGCAGATATGGAAGAGGGACCATCTTGATGTGTCTGGACTGTCACACAAACAGATCATTGACTTCCAAGACACAATGTTTATATCACATGAAGCCTAAAGGGAAATAAGCTCAGAGTTCCTGTATGTAAAATAGGAAGTATGCAAATTCTACTGTCGCAGATATCCCCACGCCAGGCCTATTATTAGAATTCTGCACAATGTATCTCAATTATTATAAAGTCTGTTTTTGTACCTTTCATGTACAGAATGGAAGACAGTGCATTCACACTGGACAACTGTGATGTTGAAGGACAACCCAGTCTCTAGTGAACCAGCTTAAAAAGGTTTTTGAGCTACACTGGTTTGTATGGCTGTAAAGCATAGGTGGCACTAGACCCGGGCACCTGGGGCACAAGCCCTGAATCTCCTGCCCATTGCCCCGGGTCCAGCAAGACCTATAGCAGAGCATGTAACTCTGACTGTCAGAACAACCTGCTCTGCATTATGCCGGCAGTGCCAGTTGGGGTGATTTCTAGTCAGATGCTGCCTACATAGTATCAGGCCATCAACACTCAGAAGACCCAGGAGCTGGGAGGTGGCAGTGTAGGAGCAGTGCAGCTTCTTTTAGGTAAGAAATGAATGAAGCTTCCACTGACCAGCAATAAAATTGGCACAAAAACCTCTTAATACCAACAACAAGAGCAATGTTCACCAATAAAAGAGGCAAAGACCAATGCAATATAATAAGATACACTGACCAATTAGCACCAAAATAGTAAGGGGCACTGACCACTGAGTACCTATGTAGTAAGGGAAATTAACCACTCTTCACTGGTGTAAAGGGGTACTTACTCCTGTCACTTTATACATTATGTTACATGTTGCATAGTGCTGAACTATTTATTCTATGTGCTATGTTATGTGTTAGATGAACCTGACTGCTGCATTCTATACACCATGTTGTTGTAACATAGTCCTGGTTGATGCAAGCCATATGCCATTTTATATATCATTGGACGTGACCACTGCAGGATATAGGCTATTTTGTAGGTAATATAGTGCTCAATGCTGTACCCCATACACCATGTTGTACTTTGCAAAATACTATATGCCATGTTGTATTTTTCATAGTCCTGTACACTGCACTGCTTACTCATTGTTGTGTATTACATAGTGTGGACCACTATACACGACATTCCACTGTGCTGCACATACTATTTTACACTTTGTATACTCAGGAAACCTGAACCCTATAACCTACATTGTACATTGCATGGTTCTTCTGATCCCTGCAATGCTATATTAAATGTTACAGATTTCTAACCAAAGTATTCATCATATCAACAGTTGTAGGTTGCTATGTTGACTCCAACTGCTTCAATAAAGCTGAGTGTGTGTAGGAACCCATATGTAATGGAATAGTTTCAATTTATTAAAAAAGTGATCCTTTCTGCTGAGGTTTATGTGTGTCTGTATCAGGTGCGGTTGAGTAGGAGCCCAGATGCAGGGAGACTCGCCAGTACTAAAGGTACCTCTACGCAAGTAGACTGGTATAAACTAGGGTTGCCACCTGTCCAGGATTCACCCGGACAGCCCGGGTTTTGAATGCTGTGTCCGGGTTTCATGGCAGCAGAAACCCGGACACAAGATGTCAGGCAGACAGGGCCAACCAAAATTAAGATAGAGGCTACTGGCCCCCCACTGTACAGTCTCGGCTGTGATATTTACCTATGAATGGGTGGCGCTATTTACATATGAATAAGCCACGACTAAAAATGTCTGCGCGTCGCTAGAGTGTTCGGGTTTTGCTTGAAGAAAAGGTGGCAACCCTAGTATAAACGCACAATCTCTTACGCAGTGATAACCAGCACAAGTAAAGTCCATGAACACCATAGCCAAATCGTAATCCAAATTCGTAGTCGGTAATCGGAACAGGAGTCAGGGCAGGCAGCGAAGGGTCAGGGATTGAATTTATACCCATTGGTGCTCTGCTGATGTCAAGCAGGAAGCGGACCACTTTAGAGACTTGCTTGGAGAAATGCACGTTGTCTCTTTAAGAGGCGGTTCAGTGTGCTCATACATGCTCAGCACATCACAGGATCTAGGAAGTCTACATAGGTGGCTAGGTACTGAGCAGCAGCCACTGGAGCCAGAGAACATAGGAGACACACTGACTGCTCTCTCTGGGTGACAGATTACACAGCCAAGGATACAACCGTGAGAGGCCTGGGATTGCTGAGGTAAGTTCTTACAGTCTGTGAGATTTCTGCTTGTGGCACAATAGTTGAAGCGGACCTTTACACTTAAAAATCAAATTCAACTTATTCATCCCTCTATGTATGATGATGAATAATAATATAAACAGGTCAGGTGTAAAATGCTGTGATTATGAAATACTTACACTTGCAGAGCATTCACTTCCTGCTTTAAATGTGCAAAATGACTTCAGTTTGCCAATGAAATGCACACTGGGATTGCCTTGTCATCAGCAGAGCATTGCTGGGAAATCTCATCAGAGATCTCGGGGAAAGGAATTCTCCTCCCCTGAGATGATGTGCATGGTCACATGTCATAGCCACATGTCCTAGTCACATGTGCCAGAAATTCAGGAAGCAAAAGGAGAGCTAGTAATCTGCCCTTAGTAAACATGGCCACTGCCAGAAGACTGGGGAAGAAAAGAGAAACAAGGAATGCAAAGAATACAAAGCCGGCAATTATCTAGAAGTATGTGTTTGTAGATTGTCATTACCAAACATTTCTAAAAAGGTGTGTTTGTTATTATTTTAAAGATATGGGTAAAGGTCCACTTTAAAGGAGAACTATGGGGTTAAGGCTTTTCCCCATAGTTCTCCTTAGGGTAACGGGAGCACATAAACTAGCGTCCTCCTGTCACCCTAGGCTCAGTATACCGCGACTGAAACGCCGCAGCTGAAGCGGATCCCGACAATTGTGCCGGGATCTGCCCAGCTGCGTGACTGACAGCTGGCTCTGCCTATCTAGAGGCAGAACCAGCTGTACCCGCCCCCTCCCCCGTCCGTTCCGCCAGTCATCGCTGGCGGATCGGAGCGGGGAATCCAGCCCCTCCCCTGTCACGGCAGAGAACCGTGACAGGATCGAGAGGGGAGTGAATGCCGGTATGTGTTCGCTCACCTCCTGATCTACTGAGCCGACCTGTGACAGTCTCATTGTCACAGGTCGGCTAGAACTATGAGGTGAGTGAAAAGCACTCACCTCATAGTTCTCCTTTAAGGGATATTTTGTGTGTACAAGGACTGTGAGTCCTTGGTTCTATTTAATGATCTCCTTTTAGCAGCTTATAGGAGAGATATGCACACTACCAATTCTTCTCAAGAAGAAACAATAACGGGCAATATCAATTCGATATACATTCAATCTTTTCCTACTATGAAGGCCTATTCCTAATATTTACAGAACATCAGATTATAGGAGTCTGCATTAAAGATGTAACAAATATCAAATAGTCACCTGCACTCCATACAGCCTGTAGACCCTCATGAAGTTTGGTGCTTGAAGTGACAACACGGATGGCGCCGTGTGAGATTCAGTCAGTAATAAAAGTCACCAGCACTCGATAATATGTGCAAGAAGTATAAGCACTTTTATTGAATTGTCACAAATGTCATAAAGCCAACATTTCGGGCCTGTCACTATGTCGCCCTGAAGAAGGGACCCTACGTGGCCCCAAAACTTTGGCTCTATGACACTTGTGACAATTCAATAAAAGTGCTTATACATCTTTACACATATTATCGACTGCTGGTGACTTCTATTACTGACTGCATTAACGATGTAAAACATTGTTGATCTAGATTTTTGCTTTAGTAAATACTAATTTGCTTTAAAATGCAAAAAGCTAACTGAAGAAGTTGAAAATATATAGAAAAAGTTTTTTTTTTCTGTGTTTAGAACTGTAATCACTGTTATCATAGTCACATGGCAAAAATGAAACCCTGAAATGTAGATGGTTAGTAAAATGTCTACAATATTTATGGATCCATACCAGATATACGGCTGAAATCAGCTGTACCAGCCTGAAGTGAATAGCCGAACAGTGTTCGGCTCACTTCACTTCTGATCGGTCATTCACTCGGCTGCCCTCGGCAGCTTTGTGAATAGACCCCATAGAAGTGTAGTGGAGTGCACCTTTGCTCAATTTCCCGTTTGGGCTCCTTGAACTCCACTCCCCACAATTTCTGGGCTTCCAGGGAATATAAATGTCAGCTCCTCTCTCCCTCTTGTTCTTAGAGAGATGCTGCCTGATGCTGGTTTCTCCACTGTTGAGTCTGTTGTGCAGGCCACCAGCGACGAGCACAAAGGTACGCAGTTTGTGTAAGTCCAAGTCACTGTGGGGGGACATTGTGTATGCAGACTTTGTAGCACTGCTCCTACAGTGGGGTGGCCTTGTCTTCAGCCACCAGAATCTCCTGACCAAAGACTTCATCTGCAGCTGGCCTCAAATTTTCTCAGGGTAACCATGTGTAGCGCTCTCCCCCGAAGGAGCCGCTGGAATATACGGCTACTTCTGTATCACCTCTGTGATAGACCTCAGGTAATGGATCCACAGCACACCAGCACACCTTGTGAGGTTTTGTAAGAGTTTTTACTAAACAAATAATGTACTATCCAATAAATGAATAGAAGCACTTTAAATATGCAGATAAATCTTAGCAGTTGCTGCCTATCTGCATATGCAAACAACACTGAACTGACTAATGTCAGCACACAGCAAACTGTGAAGGCAAAGTCTCAGTTCAAACAGACCTGGGTCTTAAACCTACTGGCCAGTGGTATTTAACTAGGCTAGCCATCGGCCCAAGTTCTGCTTGTACAGATGGTTTAGACACAATATCACAGTGGCCAATGGCCTCTCGCCACTCTTGCAGTTTGGATTGTGGCTCCCGTTTGGTGAAAGGAGGTGGTTTCTACTCTCCAGTCAACAGCTTTCCAGGTTCCAGCAGCAGCAGCTTGTGCCACACATAGTAGTAGCGATGCTTGCAACACGTTTTTGTAGAATCCAATCACTCAGGAAAGGGATAGCAGGGTCTCTTTCTGATACAGCAGTCACTGGA